TATAAAAAAATTTTTGAGAACATTAAATTAAATAAACATGTTCTCATGAGAACATAAATCTCAAAACAGATTTCCTATACTGCTCCCTCTAACCCTGTCACAGAATTTTTGTCATAATTGTATAGTACACACATGATCCAATTTATCCAATCAAATCACAAATAAATGACCTGAATAACATCATCAATTTAAAATGGTACACAGATTCGGATTCTACGTTTAAGGTTACGCTACATCACACAAAAAATTTTTTATTAACATTAACTATAAATTAATTTTACGCAACACAATCTACATACTATTTTTTTCACATCTATATATTTAATTCTGTAATTATTACAGTTTTAACATTCAACATTTTTTGATATAGCAAATGTCATAGCCCGTAACCTGACTATGTCCATAGGTTTCACATACTATCACATTTTAGCACTGATTTTATATACTATCATATTTTTGGGAAAGATTTGAGATTTGGATTATTTATTTTAGTTACAACTAGTAATGCAAAATGGCTTTGCAAAGCCATGAGCCGATTGGCTTAGCCGAGCTAATTAATGGCTCAGCTAACTAACAGCTCGCTAACCAATGGCTCAGCTTGTGTTATATAAAGCTGGTTTAGAGCCATGAGCCAATGTCATAATTGTAATTAATAATAAACTATAATAAACTATGATGATAACAATAATGATATTATCGTAAAGACGATAAAATTAATAATAAACTATAATAAACGATAATGATAATGATCTTATCATAAAATTAATTAATAATAAACTATAATGATAATATCATAATATTTCGTATTTTCGTAAAGACAATAAATATCTTTTTTTTCTTTTTTCGTATTCTTACGATACTTTTACAATAATCGTACACTTATAATAATAGTAAAAATGGATCTTGATGACCCTTCGTGTATTAATTCTCCAGACCCCCAAGACATTTTGCAATATACTTCTGATAGTAATATTGCTAGTTCAAGCTCAAATATTACTACCCTTACCAAAAATAAAAAAACATCTGTGGTCACTCCATATTTTATAAAAAAACTGGACGATAATTCTTTAGTTACTTGCATTATTTGCAAAAATTCATTTAGCAAAAAAACAGCAACAGGCATATTATGCAAGCATCTTGATACACAACATCCAGGATGGAGTACAATTGAGATTTTTGCACTTACACAAATAGTTTCAACACAAAGTTTGACAGTTGACCAAAAGGCATGGTTTAATATTTTATTGGCCGAATAGATTGTTTCAGACACCTTACCTTTTTCAATAGTTGGAAGCAAAGCATTAATTGCTTTGTTAAAATTTCTTAATGCCACTCTTGAATTACTTTCATATGAAACTATCAAGTCGATTGTACATAATTCTTTTATTTCAATGAGAGGTGATGTTTAAACTCTCTTTGAACAAATTTCTGGCCAGATTTCAATAACA